GAAGTGACATAAAATTCTGGTCTGACATATGTCAGTTCGGAAGTGACATAAATTCTGATCTGACATATGTCACTTCCTCTCTGACATATGTCAATTCAGAACTAACATAAATTCCGTTCTGACATATGTCACTTCCTCTCTGACATATGTCAATTCGGAACTGATATAAATTCGGAATTGACATACAACAGCATAATGAGCAATGCAATTACCGTGAAATTAACACAGAATTTAGCGCACCTTATACACAAAAATTACAATATGTTAAGTAGTAAAATTACTAGTTTACCTAGAGCCGACATCTATCAACGAAAGACGTTAAAATTAGGGTATGTGACTCGAATGTTTGAAATCAATCCACATATAACTTTACATAAATTTATATTTATTCAAAAACGCAAAAGAATCAACTACAGTACCACATGATAATTTATTCCCCTCCATTTACATAACTCTCACTATTATTTCATCTTAATTTAAATTTTAAATGCCTATTAAGCTTAAACTTGTAGTAGTTACGATGTGAGAAAAAAGCAGCTCTAGAGGTCCACTTTAGCTGTGTTTAATAAAGGACACACAAAATCAAAAGCGCTATTATGTTGTCCAAATATATTCTTCGTTGAGAAATTGAATTTTGAATTTAGAGTACTATTCGGTAGTCCTAAATTTTTTACCATGAAATTAATACTGAACTTAGCGCATCTAGAGTACATGTTAATATTAATATGTAAAATCGCGATAAACTGTAAGTCGACCAACTTTTTTTCATGCTAAGTATATTCTTTTACCGTTTAATAAAGTATTGCAAATAAACCTGAAAGTTTTGTTCATATGTTTATATTTTGCTATGCTCAAAATTTTCTATAAAACCGGTTCAGTTTCTAATTCTGAATTGTTGAAGTCATAAGTAAGATTGCCTTTCAAGATAGTCGACAGCGATAATAGTCATGAATATTGGTAGATTTTTACTATCTAACAATTCACCCTCTATACTTATTTTTATTATCATTTATTATTCTTCCATATTATCGTTATATAATAAAGTTTTGCCAAAGAATCTTCAAGCAAGATAAGTCGGCCCCTCGATAAGTCGGCCAATCTATATAATTTCTCGATAAGCTGTAAGTCGGCCAACAGCTCAAAACTGGTCATAGTGGAGAACATTGATCGTTGACCTTGAATTTAGCCATTTTCAAATGGGGCTGGCTGTTAATTAAATATTCTAGTTGGTACTTATAAACTAGGCTTTACTACTCGATCTTGTGACACTAATCTTAGATAGTTATTCGTCTCGAGTTAATGCCTATTCACTTTCGATGAGACTAATTCGGAAGCCTATAGGGTGTGTTTACTTGTATTTATCTAGAAGAAGCGGGTATTTCTAATCGATGTTTGGATTAGCTATACGATTATGAATCATTAATGTATTTCAGACTATAAGAACCCCTCGTTTATTAGAATTGTACATTAAACATGGACGTGAACGCCGCACTTCTTATACAGTCAACTCTCACTAAATGCACGCCCTCGGGACTGAAAATTCGAGAACGTGCATTTAGGGATATTATATGAGTGTGCATTTAGAGAGTTTGTATTAAGAAATTATGAGATACCATTAAATAATGATATTTTGCGTAAAATACCGATCTATGCTTGTCTGTCGCATCACACTAGCTTTTCTTTCCCTAATATTAACATACCTTTCAAGAATGTTTGCCATGTTCACTTGTTCTTTTGTAGATTCATTAACTCTGACGTCCCCATTATTTTTAACCCAGCTAACAATTCTGTTAGACTTTTATCATTATCGTGAACATACAGATAGAGCTCATATTTTTGAGCATCTCATCAAGTAATCTTACTTTTGAGGCATGGTAAAAGTATGGCGTTTGTTAAAAGACGAGGTTTTAATATAATTATCAAGCTATCAATTAGTTAACAGATTGTTACGATAATGACTACGCGAATGTATCCTTCTTAAATAAGTTATTACGTTAGTTAAAATTTGTTCGCTGATATGTCAGAAGGTACTATAGTAATGGCCTGATGTAATCATGTGCATTTACGAAGATTACTTTCATATTATAATAACGTGAAATTGTGTGAATTTAGGGAGTGCATTTAGAGAGAAACGGAAGTTTGAAAATCTGTTTACAATGAAGATTTTCTCTAAGCTAATCATTTTTGAGTATCTGGCTGGCTATAGCGAATTTCATTAAGAAACCTGGTTATAATGCTTATAACGAAGATTAGTCAGAACAACATAATGTGTTCAGGAATCCTGGATAGTTCCTGACTGGACCGAATATAGTCTGATCCCTTTTTAGGAAATCATAGAATCCCTCAATCCCAGTCACCTTAGGAGTGCAGTCCTCGAAATGTCACAGGATTGTGGTTTTACACAATGGTTATGAATCGTCTCATAGAATTGTAGTCCTATAGGATGGTTGTGAATCGTCTCATAGAATTGTAGTCCTATAGAATCGTCCCATGGATTGCAGTCTTATAGGATGGCTGTGAATCGTCTCATAGAACTGTAGTCCTATAGGATGGTTGTGAATCGTCCCATAGGATTGCAGTCTTATAGGATGGTTGTGAATTGTCTCATAGAATTGTAGTTTTATAGGATAATGATCAGTAAAAGGATTGGCAGACTGAACAGGCTCTATACAAACGTAATATCATGTGACTCTGCTATAATACAGTCACTCTCGATAAGATGAAGCTGTCGGGCTGGACCAAAAGGTTTATATTATCGAAAGTTCATTATGACGAAAAATCTCGTTATAACGAAGGTCATACTTGAGTCACGTGAAACATCATTATATCAAGCGAAATTTCTTTATTATCAGTATTCAGATAAACTATTCTATCTTAGAAATGAATCTAAGGTGCCTTGTTAGTATTAATTGAATGTAAAAGTATTTTTTTTTCTTTATACTTAACAAAGTTTTAAATTCTTCATTTGTGATGACAAACTCTTGGTTCTGCTGTCTAATGTAATTAGTAATTACATCTACTCTGTGAACTGCTTCACCGCTTTTGACAATAAGAGTCTGTTCTTCAGGCTCATCGGGTTTGTCGGGTTCATCGGGTTCGTCAGGATACTTTACCATGTCAATTATCTCTTGGTCAGTTGGTATTTCTTGAGGATGGAGCTCATTTTCGATTTGGATAAATTGATCGGTTAAAGGGTCCGAAATAGGTAATCGGTCAATTAAATGTTGAATATTATCGTCGTTGCCAATATCCTCTTCTTCATTAAAATTCAAGAATGCGTTCATTTCATTATTATATTCATGTTAGATTGTGTCAGTATTTGAGTTTTTTCCAACTGTTCTGAATTGTGTTAATATTAACGTTATCCCAAGCGCTTGCAGATAGTATGATTGCATCTGCAATAGTAAGTTCGGAAATTTTTATTCTTGTATTTAACGCAAGATCATACGCATCGATACGGTTTTCGCAGAGAAGGCGACGATAGTTGGCCTTTAAGTTAATATTACGTTAACAAACGACCTTTATAAACTTAATTTAAACTTTAATTAAAATTGTTATTTTTGTACTTACCTTAAAACTGTAAATAATCCCCGCGTCCATAGGTTGCAAATGAGAAGTGGTGTTTGGAGGGAAAAAATGGACTTTGACATTACTCAGTGAATTAATATCATTAATAGAATGGCATGATGTTATCAGTTAAAAGAAGAATGTGACGTCCATTACGTTGCATCGTATTAAGGTTTCTGGGATAAATCTCAAATATCGAACGTTGCATCCAGGCATTTTTATTCCAAAATAATAAACAGGCAGAGACTTTTTATCGATGTTTTTCAACGAGCGTGGATTTTACCATTTATTAATAACTAGCGGTATTAATTTATGACTTCCGGTAGCGTTAACGGTCAATAAGATTGTAATACGTTGCTTTGACTTTTTGATTCTAGAAGACAATCCAGTTGAAATAGATTTTGACGGCAGGAGTTGCCAATACAATGCGGTCTTATCACAATTATTGATGTTTTCTGGCTGGTAATTCTCAGTAATTCTTCTAAGTTCGTCACGAAATTGGGGAAGATCGTCAATCGGAGCGCTAGCAAGCTTCGCCTCTTCGTTTGTACTCCCGAAGATTATAACGCTTTTTAAACTTCGAAAGCCAGCCGTCTAATGCATTAAAATTTTCGATATTT